ACATAATATGATGGGTGTTATCTGAGATGTTATGTACCCCTTATTAATGGTTTCACCCGTTACTGCATGGATTGAGTATGGCTTGGAGGTGTTGGATTTCTGGAGCTGGAGCTTCTTACAGAGGTTTCCGGAAATGAAGTCCCCTGCTGAGCCGGAGTCCACGATGGCTGTGACAGAAATATGGAAATTCGTGGATTTTCAAATCACAGGTATCATTAATGGAGCTGATACAGGAAGGGACGTGAGAACCGAACACACAAGTAGTCGAGGAGGTCGCGTAGGACAGGAACGTAGGAAATGACCCTCAACTCCACAGTACAAGCATAATTTTAATTCCCGGCGTCGAGTACGCTCAGCCTGAGACAATCGATGAGTATCCACTTGCATCTTCTCCACTGTCGATTCTGGGTATTGTTCCAAGGAATTCGGTAGTGGTGTAAAAGTTGATTGTTGAGCCTCACGATATCAACTCTGAGATCTTTGATGTACACGGAGAGCTTGTTGTATAAATTTCTCTAGTCCCAGGGTATCATCATAGATTGCCAGCTGGAGGCGAAGTGCAGGGTTAAGACCACGTCGATAGACAGAGAGAAGAGCCTTTTCATTCCAACCGCTTACAGAGGCTAGAGTACGGAATTCCACGGAATATTCAGAAACAGATTTTTTACCTTGGCGTAACTGTAACAGTTTATCGCTAACAGAGGAATCTTCTACAGGACGACCAAAAACTTCTTTGAAATGATTTACGAAATTCTGTACTGAGGATGTAACTGCAGTGTCCTGCATCCACAACGTTTCAGCCCATCTTAATGCCGGTCCAGATAACTGTTGAATAATGAAAGAAATCTTCGATTTCTCTGTTGGATATAACTGGATTTGTTGTTCAAGAGCTAGAGAGCATTGCAGTAGAAACCCATTGCAATCCTCCGCCCGACCTGAGAATGGCGCTGGCCGGGAGGCGGGGTTGGCGAAACAAACCAGTGAGGAAGCGGGGTTCGCGGAAGCGTCGGCTGGGGGTTGCATAGGATTCGCCGCGGCGGCTGTAGGTTGCATAGGATTCGCAGCGGCGGCTGTAGGTTGCATAGGATTCGCAGCGGCGGCTGTAGGCTGCATAGGATTCGCGGCGGCGATTGCAGGCTGCATAGGATTCGCGGCGGCGATTGCAGGTTGTGCAGGGTTCATAGCAGCGTTCTTTCTTTTCTTTTTGCAGGTCAAGCCTTCTGTCAGGATTCAGACACGGAGATCGAGGTAAGTGAATCTTCACAACTTTATTTACAGGTGACAAACGTGCAAGGTGAATACTGTGAATTCAGATACAGCTTCTGTGAAGATCTCTCGGTGCGGGGGAAACAGCAGGTAAGCCAGATAACTTGAGGAAAGTTGAAACAACACAGTCTCAGTCCGTTAATCCTTATCTTCTTACAATCAGATATGATCGGAGTCAAACGGCTTCGATGAGAATATGAAACTCAGGAGAACACTGGATCACAGACGTCAAAAGATCAGATCTGGAGACAGCAACACAAAGTCACAAAGGTTAGTGATTCTCAAAAGGGTATACGTTACATCAGGGGAAACTCAGGGGAAGCAATGGTTCAGGATACAATGGGATAAGGTCAGTTCCTGTTGGAGGCTTGACATAGACTGGAGCTATCGTGAGCGTGATTGGTCCCTGACAGTCTCATTCAGCTGTGTGCATTTAAGTGACTCTGACTCCTAATTTCTTTGCTTGGTGTTTAGTTGTTCTGAAGCCAGTTGCCTGAGTAAGTGTTCTTAGCCAGGAAATGTGTGGACTTTTGTCTTGCTAAGAGTCTCCAGATCCCCACTGACTCACTCGCTACCCCTTTGACAGTTACTGCACTGGATGGAAGACCTCTGGGTCCTGGGAAGGTAACCCTTCTTACCTCTGTCCTTTGCCTCTCTGTTCACCAACACCAGGAGGAGTGGTGTTTGGATATGATACAGTCTCCAGAGTTCCCTGTTATCCATGGTCACCCCTGGCTTCTTCACCATAACCCTCATCTTGACTTGTCCACTGGCACTATCCTCAATTAGGGTGACACTTGTCATGTCACCTGTTTGATCCAGAGTTCCCCTGATCCTATTCTTGAGTCTTAAGAACCCCTACACCTATCTCAAGTACCTACTCAGTACCTCCACCTCAAGGCAGTCTTCAGTAAAAAGAAAGCCACCAGGTACCTGTCCCATTTAACACTCCCATTGGGCACTATGAGTACCTAGTTATGCCCTTCGGCCTTACCAATGCTCCCATGGTTTTCCAGGCTCTGATAAATGATATGCTTAGAGACATGCTCATGTCAAACCCAGAAGTGTGAATTCCATGTGACCCAAGTACATTTCCTGGGATTCATCATTAAGCCTGGCCATATTCAAATGAATCCCCGGAAAGTTTAAGCTGTCACGTATTGGCCCATTCCCTCGTCTGTGAAGGAGGTGCAGCGATTGCTTAGTTTTGCCAACTTTTACCAAAAATTAATTCTGAACTTCAGCTCTGTGGTGGCTCCCCTATCAGCTCTCGCTAAAGGGAATAATGCTGGGTTTTGCTGGGGTCCTGAAGCAGAGTCTGCTTTCAGTGAATTCAAACTCCACTTTACAGCACCCATTCTTACTCTCCTAGACCCAGACAAACTCTTCGTTGTGGAGGTGGATGCTTCGGATGTGGGTGTTTGGAGTAGTGCTTTCCCAGAAGGGGGAGGATAACAGACTTCATCCATGTGTATTCCTTTCATACTGCCTTACACCAACAGAGAGGAATTACCATGTGGGAGTTACTGGCTGTTAAGCTGGTGCTGGAAGAATGGAGACATTGGCTTGAGGGGGTCAAACACCCATTTCAAGTACTCACTGACCACATAAATCTAGAGTACATTCAGCAGGTCAAGCGACTCCACCCTCATCAGGCACTCTGGTCTCTATTCTTCAACCTGTTTGTTTATTTTGGCTCCAAAAATATTAAACCTAATGCACTGTTTTGAGTATACGCAAGCAGTAACCAAGAAGATCCTATCTTACCCATTATCCCGAGCTGGCCCCTGTATGATGGGAACTTGAAAATACAGTAGGACAAGCCCAGGCCTGGGAACCAGACAAGCCAGCCAACCCGCTTGTGTGGCCGATCATCAAGGAGGATACCAAAATCTTTGTAAGTGCCTGTCCCACATGAAGGAGACGGTTTCTCATCGCTCAACTCAGGGGTTGCTCTATCCTCTCTCTATACCTCAAAGACCCTGGTCACAGCTCTCCATGGATTTCGTGTCTCGTTCAGCTGTGTGTATTTAAGTGACTCTGTCTCCTAGTTTCTTTGATTGGTGTTTAGTTGTTCTGAAGCCAGTTGCCGGAGTAAGTGTTCTCTTATTCTGAGACATTTTATTATCTCTTGCCTTTGGATTATACCTTTCTCTGTTTATTTTTTGTGGACTTTCTCCGGAGTTTTTTTGCTTTAAGATCTTTGAAATTTTGGAATATTATTTGTGGAATGCCTTTTTTGGACTGGTTTTGTTATTTGAGAATTACATTTTGCTGTTTTGTTGTTGTTGTTTTTTTGTTCCAGCTGTGGATTTTTGATGCTTGAACTTTTATAAAAATTAATTATGCATCTCAACTTCTTCTAAGTGTATCTTGCTAGGGTTCACCATTCTCTAGTGGCTCAAGGATTGAGAGTCTGACTCTCATGCTGGAGACCAAGTTAAAGTCCCGGCTCTGATAGTTCTATTGTTTTAATCACATACCTACAAAGACCCAGCTTGCATGAAATCCTCTTCTTGTTACACTTGCATCACTGTAGAAAAGCACAGTCAGATCATCGTTGCTTGATTTGAAAGACTGGTTCCTGTACTCTCGTATTTCGTCCAGTAAAGGGTGGAGGGTAGAAGGACCATCATATACTCTGATGTAATCACAGCACTTTTCTAAACTAGTAGGCGGAAAAGAGAGAAAACACATGCAAATGTAATTATGGTTTGTCCACCATATTAGTATTTTGTCTTTTCTTTGACAAAGGAAATCTGAAAGTTACACATTTTTAGTTTTCTCAGTTTCAATATAAGAAAAATTCAAATAGTGTCCTACTCAACATCAGTGAAGGTCAATGACACGGTCTTTTTCCCTGTGCTATGAATGGTCCATGTGCATAGTGCATTATTAATGTAGTTATTGGGGTACCAGGGGCTGAACAATTCACCCATCGATTCTGTCAGATTGCCACCACACGATTCTTCACCTAGAGATGTAAAACAGCATAAAAAGATAGTCACGACTGTTATTATAAGAGAATGACTAGAAATATGACATAGCAAACTAGGAAAGAATGAAATTCAGGTTTCACTTTATTTTGATGGTCCCTTTAACACATTCTGTTGACTATAAGTAACATTGCACCTACAGTCCATGTCTACTAACTCTCATTAGAGTGTCAGTACAGTATTAGTAGACTGGTAGGGTTAGGGTTAAAATAAGTTGACATGTAGTTCCAAAGTTATTTATAGTCGGTATGTCTGTTGGAGGACCATCACAATAAAGATTTGGCAGATATTAAGCAGACAGTCTACTAATATTCTAATGAGAGTTAGTTGACATGTAGTTGCAAAGTTACTTATAGTCAACAGAATGTTCAAAAGGGACCATCAAAATAAAGTGTTACCGAAATTCTTAATATCATTGATCAAGTTCTATTGATCTCTTTGAATCACATACCTACAAAGACCCAGTTTGCATGAAATCCTCTACTTGTTATACCGTGATCACTGTAGAAAAGCACAGTCAGATCATTGTAGCTTGATTTGAAAGACTGGTTCCTGTACTCTCGTATTTCTCCCAGTAAGGCATGGAGGGTAGAAGGACCATCATACACTTTGATGTAATCACAGCACTTCTCTAAACTAGCAAGCAGAGAGCGAAAACACATACAATACAAATGTATTACTTTCTCCACCAGATTTATATAGTGTAGCAATGTTTTCTTGAAAAAAAAAAGTAAATCTGAAAGTTACACATTTTTAGTATTCTCAGTTCCAAAATTAAGAAAATCAAATAGTGTCCTACGCAACATCGGTGAAGGTCAATGACACGGTCCTGTTCCTGGTGCTATGAATGGTCCACGTGCATAGTGCATTATTAATGTAGTTATTAGGGTATCGGGGGCTGAAAAATTCACCCATCCAATCTGTCAGATTGCCACCACATGATTCTTCACATAGAGATGGAAAATACAATAAAAAGACAGTCATGCTTTCAACTATGAGAGAATGAGTAGAAATTTCACATCACAAACTAGGAGATATTGAAATTCATAATATTGCCGATCAAGTCCTATTCATCTCTTTTAATTGCATACCTAAAAAGACCCAGTTTGCATGAAATCCTCTATTTGTTACACTTGCATCACTGTAGAAAAGCACAGTCAGATCATTGATGCTTGATTTGAAAGACTGGTTCCTGTACTCTCGTATTTCGTCCAGTAAAGGGTGGAGGGTAGAAGGACCATCATATACTCTGATGTAATCACAGCACTTTTCTAAACTAGCAGGCGGAAAAGAGAGAAAACACATACAAATGTAATTATGGTTTGTCCACCATATTAGTATTTTGTAGCAATGTTTTCTTTGACAAAGAAAATCTGAAAGTTACACATTTTTAGTATTCTCAGTTTCAATATCAGATAATTCAAATGTCCTACTCAACATCGGTGAAGGTCAGTGACACGGTCCTGTTCCCTGTGCTATGAATGGTCCACGTGCATTGTGAATAATCAGGGTAGTTATTGGGGTACCGGGGGCTGAACAATTCACCCATCGAATCTGTCAGATTGCCACCACACGATTCTTCACCTAGAGATGTAATACAGGATAAAAAGATAGTCACGACTGTTATTATAAGAGAATGACTAGAAATATGACATAGCAAACTAGGAAAGATTGAAATTTAGGTTTCACTTTATTTTGATGGTCCCTTTAACACATTCTGTTGACTATAAGTAACATTGCACCTACAGTCCATGTCTACTAACTCTCAGTGTCAGTATAGAGTATTAGTAGACTGGTAGGGTTAGGGTTAAAATAAGTTGACATATAATTGCAAAGTTATTTATAGTCAGTAGAATGTCTGTTGGAGGACCATCACAATAAAGAGTTGGCAGATATTAAGCAGACAGTCTACTAATATTCTAGTGAGAGTTAGTTGACATGTAGTTGCAAAGTTACTTATAGTCAACAGAATGTTCAAAAGGGACCATCAAAATAAAGTGTTAACGAAATTCTTAATATCATTGATCAAGTTCTATTGATCTTTTTGAATCACATACCTACAAAGACCCAGTTTGCATGAAATCCTCTACTTGTTATACTGTGATCACTGTAGAAAAGCACAGTCAGATCATTGTAGCTTGATTTGAAAGACTGGTTCCTGTACTCTCGTATTTCTCCCAGTAAGGCGTGGAGGGTAGAAGGACCATCATACACTTTGATGTAATCACAGCACTTCTCTAAACTAGCAAGCAGAGAGCGAAAACACATACAATACAAATGTATTACTTTCTCCACCATATTTATATAGTGTAGCAATGTTTTCTTGAAAAAAAAAGTAAATCTGAAAGTTACACATTTTTAGTATTCTCAGTTCCAAAATTATGAAAATCAAATAGTGTCCTACGCAACATCGGTGAAGGTCAATGACACGGTCCTGTTCCTGGTGCTATGAATGGTCCACGTGCATAATGCATTATTAATGTAGTTATTGGGGTACCGGGGGCTGAAAAATTCACCCATCGAATCTGTCAGATTGCCACCACATGATTCTTCACCTAGAGATGGAAAACAGGATAAAAAGATAGTCACAGCTATATGAGAGAATAACTAGAAATTTCACATCACAAACTAGGAGAGGCTGAAATTCATGGTACAATATATCATAGATCAAGTTCTATTTATTTCTTTTAATCACTTACCCAAAAATACCCAGTTTGCATGAAATCCTCTACTTGGTACACTTGCATCACTGTAGAAAATCACAGTCAGATCATCGTTGCTTGATTTGAAGGTGCTTGATTTGTTCCTGTACTCTCGTATTTCTCCCAGTAAGGGTTGGAGGGTAGAAGGACCATCATATACTCTGATGTAATCACAGCATGTTTCCAAACTAGCAAGCAGATACGAGAGAGAAACACATGCTTTATTTTTGTTTTGATTAAGAATACATTGAAACATTTTGACAATGGCAATGACAAATAGGAAGAGCGATGTCCTACTCAACATCGGCAAAGGTCAATCCCACTGTCCTGTTCCCTGTGCTATGAATGGTCCACGTGCATTGTACATTATTAGAGTAATTATTAGGGTATCGGGGGCTAAAAAATTCACCCATCCAGTCTGTCAGATTGCCACCACATGGTTCTGAACATAAACATGGAAAACAAGAGAATAAAAGGACAGTCACAAATTAAAACATAAAATTATCTAGAAAAAAACCCAGACAGATACCCGGAGAACCTTCGGTGGAATACGGCCAGTCACCTAAAATAAAATAAAAATATAATGTTGATTGATGTTTCAACATTGCATAAAAATATGCATAAAACAGCCATGTTCTACACAATATAATGTATAATGTCAAATGATATTTACCTGTTGTCCATGACACAATGGTGGTAACAAATAAGACTATCTTTGCAAAAAGCTATTCTCTATCTAGCATAATAAAAAATAATCTTATTTTGAAGAACTATACAGTATGTTATAGTTAACTCTGTTACCACACTCCTCCCAAATGTTCCTCAGAAGATGACCTATTTTGATAGATAGATAGATAGATAGATAGATAGATAGATAGATAGATAGATAGATAGATAGATAGATAGATAGATAGATAGATAGATAGATAGATTTACCTGATTTACCTGATTTACCTGTTGTCCATGAACCAAACGTATCTGCTAGAATATGACAAATAGACATAACATTCAATGTAATGTAAAACTTGTCTTTCTGTACAGTATGGAATGCATTACATTTTTTAAATTCATGATTGCATGTAATCTCTGCAGAGCCAGCTCTACGAACTGAGAAATTACACATAATTTAAGTAAAACACATGATGTTCAAGCAGGCAGGTGTTTTCCATAAAAAGATTTCTCCAGTGAATGATAATCTTACCTTGATAGGCAGTTAGAAGCAGACAGAGAAGGAGAGTCAGGGCTTCCATCTTTCTCTTCTGATCAAGTTTGTCTTCAAAATGTCAGTCATGACTTTTATAGTCAAAACCATCCTAAGGGGGATTTCCTTATGATACATTAATATCCTAGAGCATGTGCTGCAATAAAGTCCAGAGCAGCAAAATCGTGGAAAAGACACAGCTGAATATTATGCAACTTTCATGATTACTCTTGACTGTAGTAATTTATGGATATTTCTGTTGACACAAAGTTTGAGATTATGGAGTGATCATGTTAAAGAAATTGTAAACATACTTTCAGTTTTCATTACCGTACACAAATATTTACAGTTTTACAAAAATATGAATAAGGAGATAAGTAAAGAAGTAGATTTCAAAACATATTTCTAGTTATAAAAAATGTTTCGAACAGCGAAGAACCGCCGCAGCACTATTTGAAGAAAATACAATTTTGAATTATCAGTAAGGCCTATACTGCAATCTCTGATCACACCATTATCGCAAACTTTGTGTCAACAGATAGGCTATATCCATAAATTAATACAACTTTCAGCTGTGTCATTTCCACAATATGTAGTTTCAGGCGCCAGGATATTGATCCATCATAAAGGATATTACAAATAGATACATATACATAATAATTTAATTTCAGGCCTGTTGTCACCCTTATGTTCAGTTATTTTCATGGACATTTTAGTTTGTTTTCATGTTCATCATGTGTTCCTTTGTTCAGTTTTCCCGCTCCTCATTATTAGTTCATATGTGTCCGCTGTGTTCTTCTATTAATCATCGTCATTTGTGTTTGCTATATAAGTTGGTCCCTCACATTCATGCTCTGTCTGATCACCGTTACCCTAAGTGTGTTTCCCTGCATGTTTGCATACCTTTTGGATATTTGTCATTAAACTTTGTTTTGGAACCTTATTCTTCTGTCTTCTTCTGTCTGCATGAAACCACCCGTGACACCTGTAGAGGATTCCGCTTGGCTCTCAAAAGTTGTGCCCTCTGTTTATGAATGCAACGTCCGGAACGATTACCGGTGACCGGTACCAGTAAAAACAAAGCAATGATCAGTATTTTTAAAGGGGTAATCGGATGCCCATTTTCCACAAGTTGGTTCTTTAGGGTGTTCATGTAAAGTTTGAAATACTTTGGTTAAAATTCCTCAATGGCTAAAACAACACCCTTTTTACCTCCTCAAAAACAGCTTACTCCACCTCTCTCTTCCATGGGGGCTGTCAAATGGCTGAGGGCAGAAATATGCTAATACAGGACAGTCCGTCAGTGGTCGTGGGCGGAGCATGAGCAGTATGACATCATAGTGCTCAGAAAATCCAAACGACCTGATTATTGAGAGTGTTTAGACATTTTGAGGATTAAAAAAAGGAGTGAATGGATGGGGTTACTTGATTTACCCTTGAGATCTGTGGGTAAAGAGCTTCTGCAAGATTCAGCTTGTGGTGTATAACACAAAACACTGTGACGGTCACACTCCAACCACATATAGATTTGAGAAGAGAAGCTTCTTTCAAAACAGTTTTCAAAACTTTCCCTCCTCAATCTACTCTTCTCCCTCCTCAATCTACTCATCTACTTCCATCAACTACTCCTCTCCCTCCTCCATCTACTCCTCTCCCTCCATCAACTACTCTTCTCCCTCCTCCATCTACTCCTCTCCCTCCATCAACTACTCTTCTCCCTCCTCCATCTACTCCTCTCCCTCCATCAACTACACCTCTCCCTCCTCCATCAACTCCTCTCCCTCCATCATCTACTCCTCTCCCTCCTCCATCTACTCCTCTCCCTCCATCAACTACTCTTCTCCCTCCTCAATCTACTCATCTACTTCCATCAACTACTCCTCCTTTCTCCTCCATCTACTACTCTCCCTCAATCAACTACTCCTCTCCCTCCTCCATCTACTCCTCTCCCACCTCCATTTACTCATCTCTCTCCATCAACTACTCCTCTCCCTCAATCAACTACTCCCTACCCTCCTCCATCTACTCCTCTCCCACCTCCATTTACTCATCTCTCTCCATCAACTACTCCTCTCCCTCAATCAACTACTCCCTACCCTCCTCCATCTACTCCTCTCCCTCAATCAACTACTCCTCACCCCCATCCCCTCTCCCTCCATCAACTACCCCTCTTTCTCCTCCATCTACTACTTTCCCTCCATCAACTACTCCTCTCCCTCCTCCATCTACTCCTCTCCCTCCTCCATTTACTCCTCTCTCTCCATCAACTACTCCTTTCCCTCCTCCATCTACTCCTCTCCCTCCATCAACTACTCCTCTTCTTTATCCATTTAATCCTCTCCCTCCATCAACTACTCCTCTCCCTCCTCCATCTACTCCTCTCCCATTTGTGCGCCCATGGGCGTGCTGGTCTGAAAACGAGGTGTGTTCAGGTGCATTGTTGGCGCATTGCTATTTTGAGGCAACTGAAATAGACTGCGCCATTGACCAACAAAAACCTAGTCTAAAGTAAATGGTGCAATATTTTTGTTATTTAATGAGTGCATTAGTAATGTGCATAGGCGTACACTCTGCTTATTACACCCACGCGCAGCATCAGCACACAAACTAGCCAAATATATATTTTAAAGGATTACAATGTAAAAGATTACAGTTTTTTCTGATGGCTTAAGCACATTTTTTTGTAACTATTGGCTATTTTTGCAAAACTCTACACACAAATAAAAAAAACCTTTACCAAATCAGCAAAACATTGTAGTTCTCTTGCAAAAGCTAATGAACCTTGCTTAACTCTTCAAACCTTCGTAAAAATGGTATTTTCGTATAAAACAGTTAACACAAGCCATCACATTAATAAGCACACAATGCGCCAACTACACACTGATGGTATGAATAAAAAACACATCTGGCTTTTGCTTTCTCTGTGCACAAGGTATGTCAGTTTGAGGTCATACTTTTGTCATAGTTCTGTAAACATACAGGGATCCAAACTTCAAGTACTGGTGTTTATTTACACATATCAAAACAAACACAAGTGTTTTCTTCCAAGTCAAAACACAAATTTCATTGAAAAAAAAAAAGAAGAAAAATCAGTCTACATCGTGTCGTCTCTCTGGGTCCGGCCTAAAAATTCTACATCACATGCAATGTCCTCTAGTCCAAGGCACCGGGGAAAATATCTTCTGGAATGCCGTATCCAGGCCTGACATGATGCCTGGTCAATATCCCCACATGCCTCCTCCTTTGCCTGTAAAAGAGCTATGCGTTGATGGGAATGATGGTCATAGACCTTCTAGCACCAGGCAGAGAAGAACTCTTCAATTGGATTCAAGAATGGAGTGTATGGGGAGGTTGAGTACAGTGAAGAGGGGGTGATCTGTAAACCAGTTGCGGACCAAAGCAGCCCTATGGAACTAACATTGTCCCATATAATGACGTATCTGGTCTGCTCTGGTCTTTGAACATTAGTGAGCATGTCATGTAAGGTGTCCAGGAATGTAATAATGTGTGCAGTGTTATATGGGCCTAGGGTTGGATGATGGTGAACAACACCTGCACACATAGTTATGTTACCACCACGTTGTCCTGGGACATTGATTATGGCACGGTGTCCAATAATGTTCCTGCCACGTCTCCTTGTTTTAGTGAGGTTAAAACCTGCCTCATCCACAAAAATGCTGCTCATGACCCATGGCATTTATCTCCATCACTCTCTGGACAAGACAAAGCAAATGCAGTACAGCAGGCCCATGCACAGCACTACAGTATGCACTTCCAGATTCAGTACCAATGATACTACAGCTTACCTGCACATAGTCATATCGCAGTTGTTTTACACGTTCACTGTTTCTTTCAAAAGGGACTCTGTAGATTTGTTTCATTCGGATTCTGTTGCGGGCAAGTACACGACATAATACAGAAATGCTCACATTGTGTATGTTTTGGAAGGTGGTGTCATCCTTAATTATGTGCTGCTGTATTTCTCGTAGCCTTATGGAATTATTTGCAATCACCATATTGACTATATGGGTTTCTTGTTCTGCAGTGAACATTCTTCCTCTGCCCCCAGCATCTGGGTGTCTAGCAATTCTGTAAAGTATCAATTTCAGTATTTTTACATGTATGGTATTGTGTTTCTCATTAGAGTATGGCAGTGCTACAAAACTTAGTGCAAAGGGACTGCACTCTTCCTCTCCCATTGTACTCCACACGGGCTTACCTGTGGCTTATTTATAGTGCTTAGGCTGATTGCAAAGTGAACTAATTATCTAAAACAGTTTTCACATGTGACAGTGTGCCAGACAGTTGGCAAAATAGTGTAAATAATAGCCACACATGTGTATAGTTTTGCTAGGAGTGTGTTGATCATTTGGAAATTGAGTGTAAAGCAATGAGTTGTGTTTACAGTTCTGCAAAAAGAGTGCTGTGCAGTGGATTGTACCTAGAGTTTTGCAAAGTGTGTATTACAAAATTGCAAACTGAGTGCAAAGCAGTGTTTGTGCTTTTAGTTTTGCAAACTCAGTGAGTGGTTTTGCTATAAGTATTAATAGTTTTAGAAATTGTGCTATAAGAATCACGGTTAGGGTTTAAGCATTAAAAAAAAAAACTGTAATATTGTGTACATAAAAATATGGTTGAATCCAGCTTGTTCCGTAGATGGTCTGCTTGCGTGCTTTTACCTTGCGCACAATCTGCTTGCTCTGGAGAAACGTTCAGTCTTTCCGCTTGCAAATTCCGCCATATAAATAGCGAATCCGCCATGGTGCGAGCACAACTGGCTTTTACATTTTACATTTATTAATTTAGCAGACGCTTTTATCCAAATTTATCCTTTTAAAGGGAATGGGAAATTACACTCTGATTGTTTTTTTGCACATTAAACCCAGAACACACCCATTACTCATTAAAAGAATAGGGACAACCCTTTTAGACCATGCTCTGGGCGCGCCGACCATTTTTCCAGTCGTTAAACTAGCAAAAGTGGATTCGGACAAACCCTAAGTGCACTTGTGCCGTACACTTTAGACCATGCGCTTAGATCGTTAAAATAGGCCCTAGGTCTTATGTACAAATGCTGTGTTTAAGCATTTGTACATAAGACCAGAAAGATCCAATATTTTGGTATTGGGTAAGCTTGTGTGAAAAGAAAATTAAATTTTTTAGAAAAGTGTTAATTGACTGTGTATTGTGTGAAAACAACATGAATTGTGTTAATGGTATGGTCACAACAGATGTTGTGTTAATTGTGTTTAGAGTTTTGAAAATGTGACAACAGATTAGACAAAAGTAGCCTATGTTAGCAATTTAAAAAAAAATGTATTTCTTTGTGGCAGCAAGATAGGCTACTATGAAGGGTCCTTAGGTTTGCTATAGCCCCAGGGCCCTTCCTTAATCCGGGCCTGACCTTGTATTATCTTTTTTTTAATTTCAGAATGGAAAGTAAATATATAAACAATGCAGACACCAGTGACAAAACCAGCTGTTTATAAATGCTTTAATGGAATTGCAAAAAATTGCTGGGTGGTTACTAATGTTTGATTAATAGTAATGATTAATGGTGATGATTGAGAAGATGATCAGTTAATTCCTTTGACTTTTCAGACTCCACATCAAGCCTTCGACCTTGACAGGCAGAGAAATTAATGTCATTAGGAAAGGCTCAGTATTATTACATCAAAAACTGGAACAAAAATTCATTAGAATAAAACCTGCTACTGGCCTCTGACCTTTGAGTTTGATTGGCCCCAGCGTCACAGTATTGGTGTGGTAGGTGCTGTCAAGTGATCTCTTGCGACGGAAGCGGCAACCTTGGCGGCAGCGAGAGTTGTAATCGTTATCGGGGCAGATGATCACTTTACACTGCAGGTACACGTAGGCATGAGTCCGGAGGAACTTGAAAGCCTGGAAACTGAACTGAGCATAATAGTGCTGACCGCTGGTGTAGGAATAATATGTGTTGTCTCTGGGACATCTACAACCAAGGAAGGGAAATTGAGATAAAAATTTGAATTCGGAAAATAAATGAAATACAGTCACACACTGAGTTGGTTTCACTATTAGATCAAATAAGTACAAGAACATATTTAAACTAAAAGCAACAGAATTCTTATCTCTGATCTCAATTAATTCCATTCCGGAGGGCATCACATTTAAAAATGAAATGGTCTCACCCATTACGCAGCAGGTCATAGGAACGATCTTTGAAGTCAGTGGGATTTGGAGATGCTACACAGTTGTCCAGGAAGAGATCCAGGCTGTTGTCAGGCCTGTTTAGCTTGACTTGAACATACAGAAGCTGGTTCAGGTTCACTTCATATGGAGAGTCATAAATTTGTTGGTAGAAACCGCTGGAGGTGTAGAAGGCTATGCTGGCATTGAAGCGCCCCGTTCCTGTGATGTTGGCATTGATGTTCTCCCTGGCCTTGTAGAATATCTGGACCATAGTGTCCGGCTCCATTCGGCAGCCCACATGTAGTAGGAACTGTGACTGACGAGTGATCTCACCCGACTGAGACTGAGATGCCCGCACATTATTGGTGTAGGACACATAACCGTTCATCATCTAGGAGGGAGAGACAGAGAGCAGGTGATGTTGTGTGGTAAACATGCCTCTCAATGATGCTAACTAATCTGACACAGCAAATTCAAGCATTAAAAGCTGGATCTGACACATGTTGTAGATCATACCTGTTTGGCGGTTCCACATGTGTCGAGAGAGAAGCTGAACACAACCTCAGTACTGGTAATACTGGGTCTGCAAAGATGATCATCCACATAAAGATCATTTCCACTGTATCCAAGTGAGTTCAGGTAAGACCGTTGAATGACAATGACCATGTTGTCAGAGGAGCAATCCACACGACCTGCAAAGCAAAGAGTTTCATCCCCTCAATGTAATACTTTTAAAGTATTTATTTAAATTCATGAAAGACAAATGTGCTGCATGTTTTAACCTGTTTGTGTATATTTTTTTTCAAAGCACATTTAATTTTATGAAGAGAAAACTCTAATATGGTCAGAGATGGGATGGAATGCATGTGACAGCTATTTAACCTTTATCTGCAGTCAGAGAGCTTGTGAAATGGGCCTTAAAACCATGGCTGACACCAGAGTAGTCACTCCTGAAGACAACAGTCAGGTATCGTGAAGAAGAGTGAAACTCCTGGTGGGTGGTGTCATTGAAGCAGACCTTTCCCAGCTGTGAATGACCAGTGGAAGAGCCGTCGTGTACAGAGATGTAGTCACAGTTACAGCAGCGCTCCAATCTGGAAGAAACAGGGAGAATGGTACTGATCTGAAAAAGAGGAACTTTTTAAACAACACTTAATTTAAAAGAGCCATTTGGAATTGGTTCCACCTGCAGGTTCTTAGTGGTTCTGCAGAAGAAAAAAAAATGTAAAAAAGAAAAATTTCACATACCTTTTTTTGTAAAAAAATAAAAGATAAATATATATATATATATATATATATATATATATATAATTTACATAAAATGTTTTCATCTACTTCTTATATAACAAACATCCAACGGCAAATTTCATCAGTACTGAATTTGTCACCGCTGGTCTCTCACTTACTGCACATCAACAAATGACAGGAAGATCCTCTGTCCTTGCTGAGCAGAGAGATACCACACACAGTAGGCATTGTCATGGTAATAGTTTGGGTAGTTTGGACTGGAAAACAGCCCAGATCCATACAGGTGTCCTCCACACTGAGGTTGAGAAACTGGATCTAAAGCAAGAAACGTGTCTTAAATCTTAAAAGTTACAAACAAGTGTAATTAATATCAGATACAAGTGGTATGAGAATTTAGTCTCATGCATTACAAAAACTACAATACCTGTTTTTATATCTGGCCATGTTGAATACGATGGGCAATACCCTGAATACAAGGGAGAAGTTAAAACTGTATGAGTATGAACCATAAGTGCATTATTGGAGTCTTATAATAATAATTCACATAGAAATGAAGCCTCTGCTATAAGTGTAACAGTATAAGTACACAACTAGATTTCTCATTTGTAATGCATCTGTTCTACAAGTGAACTTATAAGTATACTAGTAGTTTACTAATTTTATACAAGTAGTACATTTTTTAGTTTATGAAAGTACACACTGAAGTGTACTCTCAGTAAACTAGTTTAGTAGTTTATACTGCAAGTAGACTTGTAAGATATCTGTTTTATATCAATATGCTAATCAATATTTTCAAACAATGTAAGTTTCATAAGAAAGTAGCCTATATTTAATAGGCTACTCGATCAAAAGAGTTAACACAACTACAAGCCAAGTATACTTTAAATACTTAATTATACTTTTAAATATATCTCGATCAAAAGATTGAGTACAAGTACAGGCCAAATATACTTTTCTCTCAGTATAAGTCAAGTATAGTACACTTAAGTGTAATTTTAAGTATATTTCTGAGAAGTACATAAAGTATATTTCTGAGAAGTATATAAAATTTAGACTGAAAGTACTTTCTTATTTTTAGTGTAAAAGAAGTATACTAATAGAACACTTGAATAAACTTCTTTTTCGTAAGGGTTTTTGTAATTGAGGGTTGCCAGGCCTAAGTAGCAAAACTAGCCCAATGGCCAATCAAAAATATAGCCCAAAAGTACCATATCGCAAATATCTAAATGACAAATCAACCCGCGGCAACAGTTTAAAAATAGCCCATTGGAAACCCTGATTGAGTAGTACCCTTTTTAAAGGGAAAAGACAAATATTGAATAAGTAAAATTAAAGCCATATTTTTGAAAATTGACTCAGCAAAATCCATTTCATCACAGGAAATGCAATTACCCATGTACTGACCATAGGAAAGTTTTGTATTTGTGTATAGTAGGCCTTTTTGATCTTAAAATGTCTGTCTGATCAAGAGGAACTCACTGTCGTAGTCAGGGCAACAGTTGCCATAGGACTGACAGTTGTAGGTGCATGAGCAGCTGCCGAGGTTGTATCCACAGTTGTACCTGCAGGAGGGGAAATCTGGAGGGAGAAACACATATTATCCACAAAACCATTAATACATGTGACTACAAAATCCATTAATATGTTTGTGATGAATATCAGCTTTCCACATCACCCAGGAAACCAGGGACAGTTTGAATCCGAAAGACAGATAAGAAAGTCATGTGCACCTGTTGTAGCTGGCCAGTCAGTTGTCATAGAGCAGTAGTCTGTATAAAGGGAAGAAATAAGACTATGCTAAAAATTCAAGAGATCAATTCTATTTCTGGAATTACAAAGAATCAAAGGTTCTATGAAGCACCTGACCGAACCCTTTAAGATTCTATACACAGAACCTTTTCTTCTACGAGTGTAGCATCTATATCTTGAAGTGTCTGATCAAGAGGAACTCACTGTCGTAGTCAGGGCAACAGTTGCCATAGGACTGACAGTTGTAGGTGCATGAGCAGCTGCCGAGGTTGTATCCACAGTTGTACCTGCAGGAGGGGAAATCTGGAGGGAGAAACACATATTATCCACAAAACCATTAATACATGTGACTACAAAATCCATTAATATGTTTGTGATGAATATCAGCTTTCCACATCACCCAGGAAACCAGGGACAGTTTGAATCCAAAAGACAGATAAGAAAGTCATGTGCACCTGTTGTAGCTGGCCAGTCAGTTGTCATAGAGCAGTAGTCTGTATAAAGGGAAGAAATAAGACTATGCTAAAAATTCAAGAGATCAATTCTATTTCTGGAATTACAAAGAATCAAAGGTTCTATGAAGCACCTGACCGAACCCTTTAAGATTCTATACACAGAACCTTTTCTTCTACGAGTGTAGCATCTATATCTTGAAGTGTCTGATCAAGAGGAACTCACTGTCGTAGTCAGGGCAACAGTTGCCATAGGACTGACAGTTGTAGGTGCATGAGCAGCTGCCGAGGTTGTATCCACAGTTGTACCTGCAAGAGGGGAAATCTGGAGGGAGAAACACATATTATCCACAAAACCATTAATACATGTGACTACAAAATCCATTAATATGTTTGTGATGTATGAATATCAGCTTTCCACATCACCCAGGAAACCAGGGACAGTTTGAATCCGAAAGACAGATAAGAAAGTCATGTGCACCTGTTGTAGCTGGCCAGTCAGTTGTCATAGAGCAGTAGTCTGTATAAAGGGAAGAAATAAGACTATGCTAAAAATTCAAGAGATCAATTCTATTTCTGGAATTACAAAGAATCAAAGGTTCTATGAAGCACCTGACCGAACCCTTTAAGATTCTATACACAGAACCTTTTCTTCTACGAGTGTAGCATCTATATCTTGAAGTGTCTGATCAAGAGGAACTCACTGTCGTAGTCAGGGCAACAGTTGCCATAGGACTGACAGTTGTAGGTGCATGAGCAGCTGCCGAGGTTGTATCCACAGTTGTACCTGCAGGAGGGGAAATCTGGAGGGAGAAACACATATTATCCACAAAACCATTAATACATGTGACTACAAAATCCATTAATATGTTTTTGATGTATGAATATCAGCTTTCCACATCACCCAGGAAACCAGGGACAGTTTGAATCCAAAAGACAGATAAGAAAGTCATGTGCACCTGTTGTAGCTGGCCAGTCAGTTGTCATAGAGCAGTAGTCTGTATAAAGGGAAGAAATAAGATGATGCTAAAAATTCAAGAGATCAATTCTATTTCTGGAATTACAAAGAATCAAAGGTTCTATGAAGCACCTGACCGAACCCTTTAAGATTCTATACACAGAACCTTTTCTTCTACGAGTGTAGCATCTATATCTTGAAGTGTCTGATCAAGAGGAACTCACTGTCGTAGTCAGGGCAACAGTTGCCATAGGACTGACAGTTGTAGGTGCATGAGCAGCTGCCGAGGTTGTATCCACAGTTGTACCTGCAAGAGGGGAAATCTGGAGGGAGAAACACATATTATCCACAAAACCATTAATACATGTGACTACAAAATCCATTAATATGTTTGTGATGAATATCAGCTTTCCACATCACCCAGGAAACCAGGGACAGTTTGAATCCGAAAGACAGATAAGAAAGTCATGTGCACCTGTTGTAGCTGGCCAGTCAGTTGTCATAGAGCAGTAGTCTGTATAAAGGGAAGAAATAAGACTATGCTAAAAATTCAAGAGATCAATTCTATTTCTGGAATTACAAAGAATCAAAGGTTCTATGAAGCACCTGACCGAACCCTTTAAGATTCTATACACAGAACCTTTTCTTCTACGAGTGTAGCATCTATATCTTGAAGTGTCTGATCAAGAGGAACTCACTGTCGTAGTCAGGGCAACAGTTGCCATAGGACTGACAGTTGTAGGTGCATGAGCAGCTGCCGAGGTTGTATCCACAGTTGTACCTGCAGGAGGGGAAATCTGGAGGGAGAAACACATATTATCCACAAAACCATTAATACATGTGACTACAAAATCCATTAATATGTTTGTGATGAATATCAGCTTTCCACATCACCCAGGAAACCAGGGACAGTTTGAATCCGAAAGACAGATAAGAAAGTCATGTGCACCTGTTGTAGCTGGCCAGTCAGTTGTCATAGAGCAGTAGTCTGTATAAAGGGAAGAAATAAGACTATGCTAAAAATTCAAGAGATCAATTCTATTTCTGGAATTACAAAGAATCAAAGGTTCTATGAAGCACCTGACCGAACCCTTTAAGATTCTATACACAGAACCTTTTCTTCTACGAGTGTAGCATCTATATCTTGAAGTGTCTGATCAAGAGGAACTCACTGTCGTAGTCAGGGCAACAGTTGCCATAGGACTGACAGTTGTAGGTGCATGAGCAGCTGCCGAGGTTGTATCCACAGTTGTACCTGCAAGAGGGGAAATCTGGAGGGAGAAACACATATTATCCACAAAACCATTAATACATGTGACTACAAAATCCATTAATATGTTTGTGATGTATGAATATCAGCTTTCCACATCACCCAGGAAACCAGGGACAGTTTGAATCCGAAAGACAGATAAGAAAGTCATGTGCACCTGTTGTAGCTGGCCAGTCAGTTGTCATAGAGCAGTAGTCTGTATAAAGGGAAGAAATAAGACTATGCTAAAAATTCAAGAGATCAATTCTATTTCTGGAATTACAAAGAATCAAAGGTTCTATGAAGCACCTGACCGAACCCTTTAAGATTCTATACACAGAACCTTTTCTTCTACGAGTGTAGCATCTATATCTTGAAGTGTCTGATCAAGAGGAACTCACTGTCGTAGTCAGGGCAACAGTTGCCATAGGACTGACAGTTGTAGGTGCATGAGCAGCTGCCGAGGTTGTATCCACAGTTGTACCTGCAGGAGGGGAAATCTGGAGGGAGAAACACATATTATCCACAAAACCATTAATACATGTGACTACAAAATCCATTAATATGTTTTTGATGTATGAATATCAGCTTTCCACATCACCCAGGAAACCAGGGACAGTTTGAATCCAAAAGACAGATAAGAAAGTCATGTGCACCTGTTGTAGCTGGCCAGTCAGTTGTCATAGAGCAGTAGTCTGTATAAAGGGAAGAAATAAGATGATGCTAAAAATTCAAGAGATCAATTCTATTTCTGGAATTACAAAGAATCAACGGTTCTATAAAGCACCTGACCGAACCCTTTAAGATTTTATAGACCTTATGCACCAGAGAAACAAGGGCACCGCCATCTTTAGAATATTGTCTTTGAACTTCCGTTTTTGCGGTCGCTCTGTATCTCATTGCTGTCCAGGAGTAATTAGCTTTTGAAGTGGATTTACGTAACGGAAGTTAACGAAAGTTATCATGAGGATTGTAATGTTTAAAGTAGATGTCTTAACAAATGTCATAGACCGGGAAGATTTTAAAACGAGCCGTTCATTCATAAATAGGCAAGATCGCTGTGAAAATACAGACCGGACGACAAAAGACAACGAGCGCAGCGCTGAAAAGGGGCGGGGCTACATAAGGTCTACAGAACCTTTTCTTCTACGAGTGTAGCATATCTTGAAGTGTCTGTGTCAAGAGGAACTCACTGTCGTAGTCAGGGCAACAGTTGCCATAGTTATGACAGTTGTAGTTGCATGAGCAGCTGCCGATGTTGTATCCACAGTTGTACCTGCAGGAGGGAAAACCTATAAAAGAGAGAAACAGGGAGATCAGCCTTCGTCTACACTCAGGAAACCAGAAAATGGTCTGAATCTGACTGAAAGATACGAAAGATGTAGGTGCACCTGTTGTATCCAGCGAGGTCATTGAGCAGTAGTCTGTACAAAGGGAAGAGAAATAAACTTCAGTTCTAGAAATATGCTCACTACAAGAGATTTTTTTTCATAGTATTTGATCTTGAAGTGTGAAATAAAGAGAAACTTACTGTCATAGTCATAGCAGCAGTTTCTATTGTCCTGACAGGAGTATGTACATGAACACGTGCCAAAATGAATTCCACAGTTATTCCGGCATGAATGCGCATCTAGTACAGAACAGAGAAAGAGATGTTAGCCATGATGCCATAATAATGCAGGGGTGGAAATCGTAATGATTTGAACAATTCCTTGGTTTCAATTCCTCTTAATGGTTCTATCACTGTAATGATGAGTTTACATTTATTACTGTAATGCGACATAGACATGACATGTAATATAAGTGTCCAATGTCCCTACTAGAGGTTTTAATATATGTCAGCTTAATGAACTGAGAAAGTAAATATAATTTAATCATAGATAGATAGATAGATAGATAGATAGATAGATAGATAGATAGATAGATAGATAGATAGATAGATAGATAGATAGATAGATAGATAGATAGATAGATAGATAGATAGATAGATAGATAGATAGATAGATAGATAGATACATGAAGGATCCTCCGTTGAATACAGCCAGTCATCTATAAAAAAAATACAATTACATTTTTTTAAATATATCATGTGAATTGCTGTTTCAACATTAGCCTATATGAAAATATGCATAAACCCATGTCCCATGATAATGTTGAAAGATATTTACTTGTTGTCCATGACCATGACCCAATAGTATTTGCTGTAATGTGACAAACATACATGACATTTAATGTAATGCAATGTGCAAATTTGAACTGATCAATGTACGTATATCTGAGTGAAACATCTGATGTTCAACGGTTTTCCATAAATTGTAAATTTTACAAAGAATTTCCATTGCCAATTAATGATAATCTTACCTTGATAGGCAGTTAGAAACAGATAGAGAAGGAATTTCAGAGCTTCCATCTTTTTCTTCTGAACAAGTTTGTCTTCAAACTTTAAGTCGTCACTTATATAGTCAAAATCATTTTAAGGAGGATTTCCTTATGACACATAAATATCCTGGAGCCTGTGCTAAACAGCTTAATTGTGGAAAAGACACAGCTGGATGTGTTTTATAACACTTTGTGTAAATGTATGGACATATTTGTTGACACAGTTGTTTGAGATGATCATAGATTGCAATAGAGCCAAAACATTTCCACATACTTACTCTCATTACCACTCCTTGCTATGGTATTTAGATTAGGGAATGGAAATATGAAAACGTACTTATTGTACATGGTTAAGAGATTTTCCTCAACAAACCTGAGACGAGAGAATGTGACTTACTTTCCTATCATAACACACATAAAGAAATTACACAAAGAGACATATGCAAATGTGCACATACAAAAAGAGACATGAAAATATAGCTTTATTATAACAATAGGTGATTGATGGTCCAAGAATCCCAGCAGACATTCTCATGAGCTAGGAGTTCTTGAAAATGTATATATATTTTAGCAGTATCATCTTTTGCTCACTAAGCATGGCCACTTACTGAATTATAACATAATTTGGTCTTATCAAATTAAATCTTTTTTTTTTCATACAGCAGGGGCACTGGATGATTTTTTTGTCATAATTATAGTAAATATAACATAATTGTATATAGCATCTTTAATAAAAGTCCACATTTTTTATGCACTCACTGGCACCCTATTGGGTATACCAGTGGTTGGACCCCCTTTTGCCTTCAAAACTGCCTTAATTCTTCATATCATATTCAAATGGTGCTGGAAAGATTTTGGTCCATCACTGAAAAAATGGCAATGGGAAATATATTGACATAGCATCACGCAGTTGCTGCAGATTGATCACACAAACCATATTTTATTAAATTATGAGAGAGAAATAATCCATAGCCCCAATCCCAAAGTCAGACAGGGCAACAGTTTCAAAATTCTGAAGGTCATCATAAACGTTTATACAACTATGCACTTGTAAAAAAGACAAGAACATAAATGTAAAAGCGTGGAAAAGACACAGCTGACTATGTTGTAAAATAGGCTACTGTTCCTAATAGACACATCAAATCTGATGCAAATTTGCATAGATGATGTGGCCAAAAGGACACAGCTGCACTTCCCTGTGTGCAGAACAGTTCTACATTTTTTGTGTTTACATTCAAAATATTCATGTATAGATCTAAGACACAGATGTCAGAGTGCAAGAGTGTCAAAACAGATTACAAATGTTTTGATTAATTACTCATAATACAGTTTTCAGTTGTAAATGAAAAATTACAAATTCAAATAGTACAAAAGAACTTTCTGAATATAGAACTTATGCTTATAGTGTTCATAATCTCTCTCCAGCGAATTATGGTTTACCGGTAGATCTGTGTAATCACTGTTTTTTCCTTAATTTTAAGTAGGCCCTGTTAGCTTGCAAGTACCTGCAAACATGTTTAAAAATGTATCCAAAATAATTTGATACATAACCTTTTTTCAGGTTTGCAGCCTGTTTTGTCCCATGTTCCATGCAGCACTCACATAACTAGATTTAGCTCTATCATTTCAATGCTGAGGACTTTTTTAAGCCAAAATTAAACATCAAAAGAAATAAACTGTTTTTTCCCCCTTCATATTCTTGCTGAGGGAATTAACAAACATTGAGAAGCCATTAAAATAATAAAGTAGCCTAATAGGCCCTATTATAGCTTAAACAAACAAACAAACAAACAAACAAATAAATATTATCAGTCATTTATTTTATTTATTTTTGATTACCATGCAGGGCTAAGTTAAAATGTTAAAATGTCCACGTTTTCTTAAGGTCATTTTGTACTGATGAAATTATTTCAACGTCAGGAACATGACAAAAAAATATAAAGATTACTATTCAAAAAGTTCCTATATGAAAGAATGAAAAAGAGAGAGAGAGAGAGAGAGAGAGAGAGAGAGAGAGAGAGAGAGAGAGAGAGAGAGAGAGAGAGAGAGAGAGAGAGAGAGAGAGAGAGAGAGAGAGAGAGAGAGAGAGAGAGAGAGAGAGAGAGAGAGAGAGAGAGAGAAGACACGTTGGTTTAACCTGACGCAGTGACGTATACAGCCACTTCCGCTCCTGCAGGAAAAACACTCGTGAAGTTTGTGAACGGGGACACGAGCTGGAGATGGGCTGAACCGAATCACTTCAGCGATAATAAACCGAGTGAGTAGTTTGAGAAATCAGCTTTTTAGCACACCTGTCTCTATATGAGTGTGTTTATGGATATGGGTTATGTTAAAATGTAAACACGGATCCTGCTGTAGATTAATGGCAGGATTAAATGGAGACAGGGCGAGGTTGGGCTTTTCCGCGCTGTTGCTAACTGACAAACGTGGATTTTACCCTTGTAATACAATTACAATCTTTATATAAATAAAGATAATATACCAAGAGCATCATATAGAGTTCATAACTGTGTGCACGCTTCCATCGCCACAATAATAATATCAGATCATAGACGCCAATCTCTTCAATCAAGGACACATTTGGTCTCGTAACGTTGTGTGTGTTGATGGGTTGATTGTCAGTTGTAGTTCTGTCTTATCTGTCTGATTATGCCTTTTGTGACTTATCTCATTTAAACTGTATGTTTACATTCATTTTAACATTTTAAAGATGGCAGTTTATGTAAGTATTTGTAAAAATTAAGATCTTTTTGTTATGCTTTTATTGTCTATTATGTAATATATTTGAATAAATTATAGGCTAATGTATGTCAGACATTTCATTGCTGTTTGTGACTACAGTTTCTGTTGAATATTTTACTAAAACCCTTATCTAGTAATCACAAACAACTGGAAATATGGTATATGAGAACTCAACCACTGTGGCAACATCTTTGATGTTGTACCGAGTTATGGTTTTGTGTTATTGTAAGCATTCTGTTTTTGACTTGCCCTTACCGCCGGCCAACCAATGGACACCTTACCTTACCATGTGTTGAAATGTTGCGTAACAGCAGGTCATTGTGTTTGAGGACATCACTTTTTGTTGGTGTGTTTGTAAACAGACATGATGAGTGCATCGGTCAGCAAACATTAAATTGACTTTGGTTTACAGACAGTATGGTGAAGAGTGAAGACATCCAACGTTACTTTCCCTGATCGTGCTGTTTTATAGATAGAGATTATTAAACATGACTTGCAGATGTATTTGTTAGATGCATTAATTTTACATTCATACTGTATCATGTGAGAAGCATTCTTTGATTTCAGTGTATTTTTACCACGTCACTCTAGTCTTCATTTGTTTCCATTCATTAATGTTTGGTTAGTTAACCAGATAAATCAGGGAAAGAAAGAGAGATTTATTTATCTTGTGCATTTCCTTGAGATATGTTTACTGTACAGATGAAATATGCACAGTCTACATGTTTGTATGGTTATGCTTATTATGGTGTATACTATAATTTAAAAATGTATATTCGTAAACTGAAATAAAATTATGATTAGAAGCAACTAGAAAACTAAAATTGAACAAAATACAACTTCTTTCCCAAGAGCTTTTGCTATTTTTAGCAACTGTTTTAGTTCCTGATTCTTAATTGGCTCAGCTTTAACCAAAACTTAAAGTATAAAAACGAAATTCAAATGTATACATACCAAGTAATCTAATCTGTAACTGAAACTAACCAAAATGAAATAAAGTCAGTTTTAAAACAGGATTAAAGGGATAGTTGACACATAAATTAAAATTCAGTCATCAATTACTCACCCTCATGTCATTCCAAACCCATAAGATGTCCCGTTCATCTTCGAAACACAAATGAAGAAATATTTACTGAAATCTTAGAGATTTCTGTCCATCCATCACTTAACGTCCATTCCACCAAAACATTGACACTTCAAAAAGTACAAAGTAATTTGAGCGATTTAATCCAAGTCATCTCTTTATGTACTTTTTGAAGTGCCAAAGTTTTGGTGGAAAGGACTTTAAATTGAGGTACAGAAGTCTTTCAGGTTTCATTAAAATATCTTCATTTGTTGTGTTTCAAATCTGTAAACAAAAGTCTTTAGGTTAACTACATGAGGGTGAGTAATTGATAACAGTTTTCATTTTTGCATGAACTATCTCTTTAAAACAATCCAATTTGAAAATGTAAAACTCTAATAACCTTAGTGTGTATGTGCATGTCTGCATTTGCTGAAACTAGCTCTAGGGCAAGAGTTCAGTACAACCTCTCTGACAACTTTATCTGCTTCACAACAAATGTTAGCTGTGTGTGCTTGTCTTTTTTGCCTGAAGCGCTGCACAAATATACCAACATACAGTTTCTAATAATACGAGACTGAATTGCACGCAAACACACAGTCCGGGTTAAAGTGGTGTTTTGTCTACCTTATGACGTTCGTCTTTGTCAGTGAAACAGCAGATTTGTTTTCTAATCAGAGATTCAAAGAAGGATATGTGCTTGCAAACCAACCTAAACTTAGTGTAGTAAGTTTCGTCCTGTGTGTGTGTGTGTCTGCTTGTGTTAAATTTCATAAACAAATTAAGATCAACATGTAATTCTAACCTTGTTACAGACACGTCTTAAGATCCAGAGATAAGGAGTTCTGTCTCATTGTGC